GCACCCCTGAAGCCCCAACTTCAGGCGGGGCGGCAGGCGCCACGGCTGGGCCATCCCACCCACCAGCAGTGAGACCACCCGACGCTGGGACACGACAGGACCGTGTCATCCTGCGGACGTCATTATGCTCGGTCACGGAGAGATCGACATATAGCAGACCGAAACACCGGCGGCTGACCATGTCAACAAACACGGGATTTCCTCCACTCTTTGAGTACGCGGTGTACACTCGCACCGTGTGGTCCCCTGGCTGGAGGTGTCCGCCGAGGCGCCGGGGACCCAGCTGCACACCGCGCGGTGTCCACCGTAATCCCGTGTGGCCCTGACCCGGCGGCCTTACCCGCAGCACCGAGTACCGGCTGGCAGGCCGGGCGCTGAGCAGGGCGGCGATCTGGCTCTCCGTCTGCCGCACCCGGCAGCCGTTCTCCGCCAGGTGCCGCAGGTGCGCCGAGTGCAGCACCATCAGCGCCCGCTCCAGCTCGGCGGCCGACACCAGGCTGACGGCAGGTCAGGTCAGGTCGAGCCAGCACCATCAGCGCTCGCTCCAGCTCGGCGGCCGATACCAGGCCAGGTCAGGTCAGGTCAGGTCAAGTCGGAACCATCAGCGCTCGCTCCAGCTCGGCGGCCAACACCAGGCTGAGGGCAGGTCAGGTCAGGTCAGGTCAGGTCAGGTCAGGTTAAGTCGGAACCATCAGCGCTCACTCCAGCTCGACGGCCGACACCGGGCTGAGGTCAGGTCAGGTCAGGTCAAGTCAGCACCATCAGCGCCCGCTCCAGCTCGGCGGCCGCCACCAGGCTGAGGGCAGTTCAGGTCAGGACCACGTCCGACACCAGGCGTCTGTTGAGACGCCCAGTGACAGTGACAGTGGCAGTGAGTGACAGTGCCACGCTACCTGACGCGCGGCTGGGCAGCACACCATCCGTCGTGCCCAGGCCTGATGTTACCCACTCTGATGGAACTGATACGACTTGATGGTATCACACTCGGCTGGGCTTGGCTCGGACGTGTCCCCGATGTGCTTCAATGGCGGCCAGCGCCGTAACACGGCGTCACTCACAGTCTGATGTGGCTTGGCCTGATGGCGTCACCCACCGTCTGATGGGGCTGAGCCTGATGGCGTCACTCACCGTCTGATGGGGCTGGACTTGATGACGTCACTCAGAGTCTGATGGGGCTGGGCCTGATGACGTAACTCACCGTCTGATGGGGCTGGACTTGATGGCGGCCGACACCATGTGTGTTACGGCACGGCGCAGCTCGGCGCGCAGCTCGTCGGCCGTCTCCTCGGCCGCCTCGTCGGCCGGCTCCTTCTCCTTGTGAGCGGGGCCCGGGCCAGCGGCCGGGTACAGCAGGTCGGCCACCGACGCCTCCCCCAGCAGCACCGACAGCGCCTTCAGAGCCGACGTCTGGCCGCACGGCACGCGCAGTCATCGAGCGCTCCAGAACGCGAGTCGTCACGGGGTTCATAAGCCACTGGTTATGAAGACGCCACGCGAAATTGCAAAAAGGAGGTTAAGAGCTGACAGCCCGAACCAACACTCTGAGCACCATCCCATACGGTGGCACGCCCCTCAGCCCGCCCGAGACTCCGGTGGAACTGGGGACGGGTCGGGTCCCCGGAGGCCGCCCTAATCCAGCGCCTGACTGCTAGCCGTGGCTGCAGCCGGCGTCCCTGCGAACAGTACTGGCCCAGCGGGCGTGCCGGCACGAGAGCGCGCCACTCGGACGCCACTCGGCGGGCCATGCCCCCAGCACCTCAACTCAAGCCCCCGATCCAGCACGAGAGCGCGCCGCTCGGACGCCACTCGGCGTGTCGTGCCCCCAGCACCTCAACTCGAGCCCTCGATCCAGGCTGAGATCGCGGGCCGCGGGGCGTTTCTGACCACTGCCCGCGCTGAGCCCCGGCGACCGCCGCTCGCCGGCTGCCGCTGGACCCACCTGCAGCAGCGCGCCGCGCACCATCAGCTCCTCGCTGGCCAGCTGGAGGGCGGCGGCCGAGGCCGGCTCCGGCTCCTGCGCCGGACCCGCCTCCAGACGGCCGGCGCCGCGGCCCGTCACCTGACGAGCCGACAGAGACGAGCGAAGTCAGTGCGGCCGCGAGCACAGCCGCTCTCGGGAGCCCGCGGCAGCTGGCGCCACACACAGCCAGGCTGAGAGCGTGAGCGCGGTCGTTGACTAACGCCGCTGCCGTGTACAACCGCACTGAATAGGCACTTGACGTTCCCGTAGCTAGCGCTCCACGCGGTGTCCACGACAGGCCGGCGCCGGGCCACCGCCGCCGCCGCGCCCACCTCGCCCATAATGTTGGCCACGAGCTCGTCGGTGAGCGCCTCCATGGTGACGAGGCTGTGCGACTGCCGCACCGGCTGGCGGCCGGCGTCGTCGGGCGGGCCGGCCTCGGCGCGCGACGGGCCGGCGCTGCGGCACTGGGTGACGGGCCGGGCCGGCGGGCTGACGTCCGGCGTCGGTCGCTCCGCCTCACCGGCCGCCGCAGTCATCAGGTCCACCTGCGCGGCGGCGGGAGGTGTCAGACGGCCGCACGCGCCGCCGCCCGGCAGCAGGTGCTTCGCCCAAGAGGCGGCGAGTCGTCGCGCCTACCTGCGTCGCTAGTGAGGAACGAGCTGTAAGGACGGGAGAACTAAAAACTTCGCATGAATACACCGTCCGTTCGCAGAGCAATGATCTGGTTTGACTAAAACCCAAAATGGCACCGCGCTTCATTTCTTGCCATGCACGCCTACCGCTTCCTTCCAGGTGACCAAAGCCCACAATATACACGAGTTTCCGCGCCATTTCGATGGCTGCCAGCATCAGGCCATAATGGCCAGGTATCTGCACCGCGCCAGCCCACACCGCCGCCGGTCCCCGGTCCGGCCGGCACCTCGTCGGTGATGCCGGAGAGCCGGGACAGCTGGCGGATGACGCCAGCCGACAGGGCGCCTAGTCTGGAGACGACGAACGGCGGCGGCTCGCACGGCTGCAGGCTGCTGACTGCCGCGTCACTGGCGGCGGCACGGAGACCGTCAGAGGCGGACCGGCGGCTCAGAGACACGGCAGACCGGCAGCTCAGAGAGACACGGCGGACCGGCGGCTCAGAGACACGGCGGACCGGCAGCTCAGAGAGACACGGCGGACCGGCGGCTCAGAGACACGGCGGCACGGAGACTGTCAGAGGCCGACTGGCGCCTCAGAGACGCGGCGGCCCGGCGGCTCAGAGACGCGGCGGCCCGGCAGCTCAGAGAGACACGGCGGCCCGGCGGCTCAGAGACACAGCGGCACGGCGACTGTCAGAGGCCGACTGGCGGCTCAGAGAGACACGGCAGCCCGGCGGCTCAGAGACGCGGCGGCCCGGTGGCTCAGAGACGCGGCGGCCCGGCAGCTCAGAGAGACACGGCGGCCCGGCGGCTCAGAGACACAGCGGCACGGCGACTGTCAGAGGCCGACTGGCGGCTCAGAGAGACACGGCAGCCCGGCGGCTCAGAGAGATACGGCAGACCGGAGGCTCAGAGAGACACGGCAGACTGGCGACTCAGGGACACGGCGGCCCGGCGGCTCCGAGAGACACGGCGGCCCGGCGGCTCAGAAAGACACGGCGGCACGACAGATTCTGGTGGAGACGTGACGGACGGACAGACAGGCCGGCTCTGATTGGGACGTGACGGACGGACAGACGGACCGGCTCTGATTGGAACGTGACGGGTGTGACGTGTGGACACCGCTCTGGTGAGGGCGTGGTGGACATGACAGGTGTAACTGGCTTGGACAGACGGACCGCCAGATCAGTCCAGCTTTACCAGACCCTGGCCGTGGCATAGAGGTCCAAGTTCTTAGCACACGACGGTCGTGATATGCAAAATAATCTGACAGACAGGAGCCGCACGAGCCATAGTTATCTGACAGACAACGGCCACAAGAGACATAGTAATCTGATGTACAGGAGCCGCATGAGACATAGCTCTAACAGACAGCAGCCGTAAGAGACATACTACTCAGACAGACAGGAGCCGCACGAGACATAGTTATCTGACAGACAGCAGTCGCAAAAGACATGGCTCTCACAGACAGGAGCCGTAAGAGACATGGGCTGGGGCTCCGAGGAACAGACATGACAGGCCTCACAGATCCATGCCAGCAAGTACGAGTACAATGTCATGGGAGTAGTGTCATCACAACACGATATCGGGCCACCTACACAGGATCGTAAAAACATGTACCCATCACAGCAAACCCAGTGGTCCTGCGAAATCAGATCGGATCGTGCTTAAGCAGCCAGAGTTCGTCGGGTCCTGAGCCCACACCATCATAACGGTAACCAGGCCGGACCTCAGTACCCTACGGCGACGCCACGTGACCCGGCCTCGTGCCGTGACACGACCTGATCATCATCTCTCGACCCCACCTGATAACCGGACGGGAACAGACCTGACCGGCACTGTGCGCCGGCCAGCCCCCTCGCTGTGGACTAACCACCACGCCACGACTTGACCACCGGCCACTGAGTAACTTGGCCACTGAGCCGTGGCCTGACCTAGCCGCAGGCCATGCCCTGAAGCGCCGCAGCCCGCTGACCTGACGGTGGCCTCGCCGTCCTCCCACTGCAGTCGGACCGACGACACGCCCTGCTTCAGCATGCCGAGCAGCACGGCCCGCCGCGCGGAGGAGCGGTGCAGGCAGACGCCGCCCACGCGCAGGCCCCGGTCCACGCCTGCCATGACGGCCAGCGCCGGCAGCACCTGGGTCGGGCGGCGCCGGAGGTCAGCGGCGGAGAGGAGCGCCGGTGCGCGGCCCCCACACCGGCCCGTCGGCCATGGCCGGGTCTGGGCTGAGCAGGGGTATGCAAGGACCAAACGTGGTGACGAATGAAGCAGCTCTGGCGAATCATGGACGGATATTTTTGTGGACGTCTTCATCGAAACACGAGAAAAAAAAACATGCAGCGAGGAGCATTTGTGCTGCAACATTTGAGAAACGTATGGACACACAATTGCGTATGCCGCACACGATAATGACCAACTCTGCCTGTTTCAGCCAGCTACCAGGCACGTCTAGGCCAGCTAGGCCAGTAGCCCAGGCCCGTCCAGATTAACGTGCCCTTCAGGCGGCGAGCCCACCCTCCAAGCCGCTGGTGCGTCTCACCTCCTTGCAGAGGTGGCGGACCGGACTCTGGCGGGTCTCACCTCCATGTAGAGGTGGCAGACCGGACTCTGGTGCGTCTCACCTCCCTACAAGAGGCGGCGGACCGGACTCTGGCGGGTATCACCTCCCTACAGAGGCGGCGGACCGGACTCTGGTGCGTCTCACCTCCTTGCAGAGGTGGCGGACCGGACTCTGGCGGGTCTCACCTCCCTGCAGAGGCGGCGGACCAGAGTGCGGCGCGGTCCGCCGACCGCCGGCTCATCCTCGCCATCGGCCGCGCCAGCCTCGGGGTCGGCCTCGGCCGCCTCCTCCTCGATGGGCATCATGCCGACCTCGGCCGGCCGGCGCCGCTCCGACTCGGACGAGAGCGAGTGGCGCGCCTCCTCGGCGCCGCTCGGCGACGTCTCCGCCGCCTGAAGACCGGCGCTCCGTCAAAGCCCGGCTCCTCACGAAAGCGGCCATCGGCGGAGCCCGCCACGGCCTCCTGCGCCGGCAGCGCATGGCCAGCACCGCTCGCCCTCAACACGATTTGATACAATCCCTCATAGCATGATCATGTGCTCTCCGCACTTTCGAATTCCACAACCGGGATCACTCCACTACGTTTCTCCCAGCCACACAACGTCGCGCGGACTGTCTGGGTGTAAGGTCTGCCGGCCCGTTTCAGCGGGGGCAGTGATACAGCGTGAAGGCAGCCGCTCTCTACGTCGGTGTACACGTCTTTCCTGCCGCGGAGACGAAGGCTTAGCAAGCAACTAGGAGGGAGGCAATGCATGCACTGGCTGAGGTAGCCAAATCGGAGGCTAAAAATTGAGCCCGTCAGATAGACATTACGCTTCCGCCAGCTGCACGGATGCGTGTCCGCCACAGATACTCGGCCCCAGACCGTCACACTGCCTTCTCTTCGGCCAAAGCGTACCGTGTCGGGGCTGTCACCATCCTTGTCGGCTGTAGGCATCAGCTCCTTGATCCGGGAGAGTCGGCGCAGCAGGCATTTGTTCACCTGGTGAGGAAAGCCAGGGCCGTCACACCACGGGCCCAGCCTCTGGAACCGAAGGCTGGTGTTCCGCGGTCACAGAGCGCTGTCGCCTGGCTCGACCGGCAGAACACCAGCTCCGACTCACCGGCAGTACAACGACCCACAGCTCACTGCGAAAACAGCGCCGCACACTGACCGCCCGAGCTCCGACCCCTCACGCAGTCCAGCGGCCGTGCAGGGAGCTCACGTGTTCCGTCCAGGCGGGCGTGCTGTGCAGCGTGCGGATGAGCGCCACGTGCGCCTCCAGCAGGACGGCGGCGGCCGGCGCGCACAGCGGCTCCCCGGCCAGCAGGTCCCGGGGCGAGCCCCGCAGCTGCATGTCCGTCATCTTCACCTGAGCTCAGCGCACGGAGACGGCCGTCAGCCTGCGCCCGCGGCGGCGGGCGCGGCACTCCGCTGGCGTTCCGAATCAGAGGGGCGGGCCGGTTCGGTTCGGTAGTAGTTTTAGGGGCACCGACGACGTACAGAGCCCACAAATGCCGCATGCTCGATGTTCTCGGCCGTCTCCGGATTAAGTTGTATTCAACTACTCATTGACAACGGCGTAATGCACTATCGAACCATATCCCGCACGTGAACCAGCCGTACGCATTCAACCATCTCAATTCCCTAAATCCCCGACGACGACCAGCACGACACCAGACCCCGGGTCACACCGCTCGCGGCCCCTTCCCATCGCTCCGCCTCAGCGGCCCGCACTGGCGAGCAGCGTACGACTGAGAGCCGAGACGGGCGTCGACGCCAGCCGGGCCCCACCTTCTCGCCGGGGTTGGTGCTGTAGAACATGACGCAGGGGAACAGCTCGGCCGCGTCGATGTCCTCGAACGCGACGCGCGGCTCGTCGCCGTTCTTGCCGAAGCTGAGTGACCTGCTGTCCATGTCCAGCACGCAGGTGATGTAGTCGCCCTGCGTGAAGGATGGCAGGCTGGAGGCCAGCTCGCCGCCGTGGTAGACGTTGCCGCTGCCGGAAGGAGCACGTGCGTGAGGGCGCCAGTGGCGGCACAATGTCGTCGGCCCGCGCCCGCAGCTGCTGAGGGCCTGTGAGTACGACGACGGCCGGCCAGAGATACGCTCCCCGCGAGCGCAGAAGCGGAACGACACACTTCGCCGCGAGCGTAACTACACCCCGAGGAACAGGCAGACAGGTATTAATGTAACCACAGCGGACACTGCCATACCCTGCCGGACATGTCGCCAGCGCAGCTACAGACTAGCAACGCGGACTAGGCAGGGTCCTGCAGCACGTCTCTCCGCCCCCGCGCAGCGGCACAGACGACGCATCTCAAGCCCTCAGCCCGCCAGCCCACTCCTGTCACACTGGCCGCAGTCGCGTGGGACACGACCGCCCTCCATACAGCCGACTCCCCGCCGGCGGTGTCGGAGACGGGACCTCCGGCGGCGGACGGCGGTGCACCGCAGCGGCGACCAGGCCTCACCTGTAGGCCCGGTATAGCCACATGTCGCTGGTGGTGCGGTGACTGTAGTCCCGGATGGGCACGCGCGCCACGCCCACGCACGTGCCCTCGTTGCCGCGGGTCTCTCGCACGATCAGGAACTTCCACTGGTAGCAGCCTGGTGGCGGGAGAGGGGGGAGTGGGGTCGGGCTGAGGCCTCCCGGCGGCCGGCCGGCGCGCTGACGAGCCACCGGTGACGGCGCCACCGACCGGCAGCACTGTCCTGTCCTGTCCAGTCCCGTCCCGTCCCGTCCCGTCCCGTCCCGTCCCGTCCCGTCCTGTCCTGTCCTGTCCTGTCCTGTCCTGTCCTGTCCTGTCCTGTCCTGTCCTGTCCTGTCCTGTCCTGTCCTGTCCTGTCCTGCCCTGCCCTGCCCTGCCCTGCCCTGCCCTGCCCCGCCCTGCCCGCCGGCCTGACCTGACTTGATGCCGGTCGTGCCGAGCCCGTAGCCCTTGCCGCCCTGTGAGTGCACCAGCGTCTGGCCGTTCTCCACGGTGCAGTAGAGGCAGCGGTCCGAGTCGAAGCCGGCCTCGTGCACCGGCACGCTGTTCTCGGCGGCGTCCGCCTCCACCGACCACTCTGCGGCGCCGGCCAGGCGGCGTCAGCCGACCGACCGTCGAACACGGCCAACACGCGCAGTGTGCACCCCTCACGGCACGTGCGGCAGCAGGCGGAGCACGTAACCGTGGTCACACGCGGCAGGGCGGCCCATGCCGCACGGACATCACGCCGTAGCAAAACGTTTCAGTGGCAGCCCAAATAGAACGGCTATTAATGACATGACTGAGTCGCCTGGTATTGTTTCCATCAACATAAAACGCGACGCTGGATGAGCGTGACCCACAGAGGCCAGCCGACAAGGGCCGGCCCCTCGCCGCCGCGGCGCCGCGGCCGTCAGCTGACCTGGGCTGCTGAGCCGCAGCAGGCGGCGACGGAGGTCGCGCTCGCGGCGGGCGGCCACCAGCCGCGCCACGGCGCGCGGGATCACCCACAGGCTGTCCGACAGCTGGTGGAACAGCTCGGACGCCAGCTGCGGGCGGGCGGCGGCGCCGTCAGGCAGGCGTGCTCGCGCGCGGGCGGCAGTTCCGGCCACGGCGGGGGCGCGGCGGCGACGCGCCAGTCGTCGCGGTGGTAACGCAGTGGGCTACACCAGGCCGACTGGCCAATATAGCCGATACAAACCCCGCACGAGTCTGATACAAACACGCTGGAGGGTTTTTTAAACAAAATGTTCTTTTGTGGTTACACGGTCTGACGTAACGATATAAGTTGATTCCCGAGGTTGCAACGGTCACTATCAAATAGGTATTTCATAGCCATGTGTCATTATTTTAGAAGCGATATTTAACGACATCACATTACATGAGACCCACATACGTTAAACACGGGAAACCGAGTAACTAACGGATGTCATCATAAAGCAAGAAATATCCGCCTTAAACATCCTGTATGTTCACAGAGCATGTGACCACGTGAGCGTCTGCCTCTTAAGACATCCACATATCATGTGACCATTACCTGTGCGGCGTAGGCGCGGTCCTCTTTTGTGTCGAGAGATGGCAGCACAGTGCCCAGCAGCTGCAGGGCCAGGAGCCGAGGCCGCAGCGCCTGAATCCTCCGGGTCCCGGGCTCGGGCACCTGGCCCGGACACGTAACACTTGTCACACAGCATAACCAGCCAGTGACAGCCGAGGCCGCAGCGCCTGAATCCTCCGGGTCCCAGGCTCGGGCACCTGGCCCGGACACGTAACACTTGTCACACAGCATAACCAGCCAGTGACAGCCGAGGCCGCAGCGCCTGAATCCTCCGGGTCCCAGGCTCGGGCACCTGGCCCGGACACGTAACACTTGTCACACAGCATAACCAGCCAGTGACAGCCGAGGCCGCAGCGCCAGAATCCTCCGGGTCCCAGGCTCGGGCACCTGGCCCGGACACGTAACACTTGTCACACAGCATAACCAGCCAGTGACAGCCGAGGTCGCAGCGCCTGAATCCTCCGGGTCCCAGGCTCGGGCACCTATCCCGGACACATAACACAGGTCACACAGCGTAGTCAACCAATAACATCCAACGCCTGATGTCTTCTGGTTTGGCCTGGGTTAGGGCCATCAATTACCTTCTGATGGGCATAGGGTTACGAAGGGAGGTGAGTAGTGAATGCCGCAGCAATGCGGGCGGCCGCCGTGGAAGGGGTCGGGGTTGCGATAGTTCAGAATGATGCGGTGTGTGAGGAAAAAGAGCCAGATAATGTAAGTCGTAAAACAGCGCAAATCGTTTAGTGCAGTGGGGTCTTAAGCCATGTGATACATGAGGATCAATTCACCGACTGTCCCCATTCAACTCACACATCACCGACGTAGGCACAGTAGCCACCTTTCAAAACCCTTTCAAGACCGGCTAGCACAAGCTCCGCGTGTTCGGGGGCAGCGGAGTGACGGGCGTGGTCGCCGCTGCTCCGTCCGCCTACGCCGGCGCGGGGCGCAACAGCAGCTGATGGGGTCGGACGCGGGCGCCGCCACCCACCTGGCCACAGATGCGCAGCAGCAGGCCGGTCCAGGCGTGCGAGGTCATGCGGCGGCGCACCGAGGCCGTGCTGGCCACGTGGCGCACGAACACGAGCAGGTCCCCCAGCGAGCTCTCGGCTGCCCGGGCCGTGCTGGTCAGCCGACGCGACTGCCAGACCGGGGGGCGGGAGGAGCCCTGCCAGTGACAGGGGCTGGTCACCGAAGGCACGGCTGTCAGACCGGGGACCGGGAGGAGCCCTGCCGGTGACACGGGCTGGTCACCGAAGGCACGGCTGCCAGACCGGGGGGCGGGAGGAGCCCTGCCAGTGACAGGGGCTGGTCACCGAAGGCACGGCTGTCAGACCGGGGGGCGGGAGGAGCCCTGCCAGTGACAGGGGCTGGTCACCGAAGGCACGGCTGTCAGACCGGGGACCGGGAGGAGCCCTGCCGGTGACGGGGGCTGGTCACCGAAGGCACGGCTGCCAGACCGGGGACCGGGAGGAGCCCTGCCGGTGACGGGGTGGTCACCGGAGGCACGGCTGTCAGACCGGGGACCGGGAGGAGCCCTGCCGGTGACACGGGCTGGTCACCGAAGGCACGGCTGTCAGACCGGGGGCCGGGAGGAGCCCTGCCGGTGACAGGGGCTGGTCACCGAAGGCACGGCTGCCAGACCGGGGACCGGGAGGAGCCCTGCCGGTGACACGGGCTGGTCACAGGAGGCACGGCTGTCAGACCGGGGACCGGGAGGAGCCCTGCCGGTGACGGGGTGGTCACTGGAGGCACGGCTGTCAGACCGGGGACCGGGAGGAGCCCTGCCGGTGACACGGGCTGGTCACCGAAGGCACGGCTGCCAGACCGGGGACCGGGAGGAGCCCTGCCGGTGACAGGGGCTGGTCACCGAAGGCACGGCTGTCAGACCGGGGGCCGGGAGGAGCCCTGCCGGTGACGGGGTGGTCACTGGAGGCACGGCTGTCAGACCGGGGACCGGGAGGAGCCCTGCCGGTGACACGGGCTGGTCACCGAAGGCACGGCTGTCAGACCGGGGGCCGGGAGGAGCCCTGCCGGTGACGGGGTGGTCACTGGAGGCACGGCTGTCAGACCGGGGGCCGGGAGGAGCCCTGCCGGTGACACGGGCTGGTCACAGGAGGCACGGCTGTCAGACCGGGGACCGGGAGGAGCCCTGCCGGTGACGGGGTGGTCACCGGAGGCACGGCTGTCAGACCGGGGACCGGGAGGAGCCCTGCCGGTGACACGGGCTGGTCACCGAAGGCACGGCTGCCAGACCGGGGACCGGGAGGAGCCCTGCCAGTGACAGGGGCTGGTCACCGGAGGCACGGCTGCCAGACCGGGGGCCGGGAGGAGCCCTGCCGGTGACAGAGGCTGGTCACAGGAGGCACGGCTGCCAAACCGGGGGGGGGGGGGGGGGGGGGGGGGGGGCGGGCAGAGCCCTCCTAACGGCCGGGGCAGACCAATGAAGGATGTCCTGGCTCACCGCAACACGGACGGACCGACAAGCTGCTCCGACGGTACCGGCAGGCCATTGAGGGGCCTCTGATACGATACGAGCGCCGATCCGCCGGCCGACACTGTTACCAAACCTCTCATGGCAGTGCTGAACGCAATCTAACCCGACTCAGGAACGGCCAGTCTTAGCCTAGCTTGACGCTGTTGCCTAGCGCCACAGTTCGCTTTAAAGCAGCTATCTTACTTGCATCCGCTGATGTCATTAGTCCAGTGTCCCTGGATTGGATGTGGTGCGGACCTACCTTGACGGCGGCGTCTGGAGGCTGGTCGACGCTCTCGCTCTCGTCCGCTGATGTCATTAGTCCCGAGTCCTCGGATTGGCTGTGGTGCGGACCTACCTTGCCGGCGGCGTCTGAAGGCTGGTCGGCGCTCCCGCTCTCGTCCGCTGACGTCATTAGTCCCGAGTCCTCGGATTGGCTGTGGGGCAGACCTACCTTGCCGGCGGCGTCTGAAGGCTGGTCGGCGCTCCCGCTCTCGTCCGCTGATGTCATTAGTCCCGAGTCCTCGGATTGGCTGTGGTGCGGACCTACCTTGCCGGCGGCGTCTGGAGGCTGGTCGGCGCTCTCGCTCTCGTCCGCTGACGTCATTAGTCCCGAGTCCTCGGATTGGCTGTGGTGCGGACCTACCTTGCCGGCGGCGTCTGGAGGCTGGTCGGCGCTCTCGCTCTCGTCCGCTGACGTCATTAGTCCCGAGTCCTCGGATTGGCTGTGGTGCGGACCTACCTTGCCGGCGGCGTCTGGAGGCTGGTCGGCGCTCTCGCTCTCGTCCGCTGACGTCATTAGTCCAGTGTCCCCGGATTGGCTGTGGGGCAGACCTACCTTGCCGGCGGCGTCTGGAGGCTGGTCGGCGCTCTCGCTCTCGTCCGCTGACGTCACCAGTTCGGAATCCTCGCCGTTGGAGCTGGCGGTAACCGAGTCCAGGGTAGACTCGGAGGCAGAGGTCGCAGCGGCCCTGGCGTGCCTGGCGACGGACAGCGAGCGCCGCAGTGTTGACCAGAACCGAGGCAAGTCGAATCCTGGTGGGCGGGACTGGAATCCTCGACGGCGTTTCGGCTTCCAGGAAGATATTTGGGTTTTTGGGGCGCGTGGACTACGTTGGTCATTTTGTGCCGCCACTTCAAGCACGTAGATGTTTGTTTGGTTTGCGATCGTATGGACACCCTACATATTGTTAAACTAACCAATAGAACATGTTGACTTATGATTGCATGTGTTAATGCGGCCAAATAAGACGTAACTCGTGTAACGGCGTCGCAGTCTGCCACGACACTACGTCCGACGTCCGAGGCCCACCGATACACCGCGGTCCGAGCCGGGCAGCGCGGCGGCGGCCGTCTCACTTGGCGGCGGCGCCCTGTTGGGGCGTGTCCTCGCTGCCGGCGGCCGGCTGCTGGCCGACGTCGCACAGCGTGGTGATGACGTCCGACTCTAGCTCGGGCCGCGAGCAGGCGTCCAGCAAGCGCGCCAGCTGGCGGCGCAGCAGCTCCGTGATCTCGTCGCAGGTGGACGCCGGCAGACTCTCGGCGTACACGCTGTGCGAGCACGGGCGGCGCGTCAGCCGCCGCTGGGGGTCACGGCCGACACGAGCCAGCCGCGGCGGCACGAGCGGTCACTCTGGCGCACTACCGATGGGGCTCGCACCGCCGGAAAGACGGCCGCCCCCCTGCTCTCTCCGAGGGAGCCTCTCCACCCCAGCCAGTGAGGCACGCCCTTCGCAACACTTCCGGAATGTGGGCGACCTATGCCACGCTCTCGGAGAGAGCACGTCCCACACGCGCCGCCCTGCTGCCGGACCGTCCGGCACCACACTCACCCGGCGATGATGGCTAGCACCTGCAGGAAGCGCATGCTGGCGGCGGCCAGCGGCTGGTGGGCCGAGCCCAGCGCGCCCGTCAGCCACAGGCTGCCGTCGGCCAGCCGCGCCAGCAGGTGCAGCAGGCCGGAGTCGGCGGCGCGCGTCACGTCGTCCGGCCGGTGCTGCACGCTCAGCGCCAGCACCCCCAGCAGCTCCAGCCGGTAGCGCACCTCTGGCAACACGGCGCACGTGGCAGCTGGGCGACGCGCCGCTGTAACGGGTGAGTCGCGTGTGACAGGCTCGGAGCTGACGAGTGGAACGTGAAGTAGAAAAGCGGGTAAAAACGGCACTTCCTTAAAATTCCGTTACGCAGCTGCCTCGGCACCGAAACCGCGCGTCAGACGCCGCCTCGGCGACGGCCGCTTACCGCCGCGATCCTGGTGTCGGAACAGGCCGGCCACCAGCAGCCGGTAGATGTCGGCCAGCACGGTGTGGATGCGCTGCCGGAGCGCGCAGCCGCTGGTGGCCACGTCGTCCGTGTAGAAGCGGACGCGGCTGCGCGGCGGCTCGGCGGAGACGGCCGACAGGCCGAAGCAGCCGGCCACGAACTGCTCGTACGACTGCGGCGGCGGCCAAGGGCGGCGTCAGACGCGGCCGCCGCGCCGGCGGGGCGCGGGCGCCGACGCCCCGGCGTTGGGGCGGCCGCCGTCCGGAGGCTGGACGCTCGGACGGTCGCGCGCGGCACCGCTCAACTCGCGGCACGTTCAGAGTGGTGCGGTGAAGAGGACGGCATCACGATGGAGCGCAGTTTCTTGTGAGTACTCGAGGGGTTAGCATGGCACGGAATGTTACCTCCTGAGAACGTTTCCTCGCGCGGACGCTGAGTGAGACCTCGCACGCCATAGCCGTAAACATGAATGCAAACGCCGCCCCAAATCGGCCCACTGCATGTCCACTGATGGACGAGGCGCTGCGGCCACCCCGCGCCGTTGTCTTCCCAATGAAATCGACCGATATCCACACAGCGCGTCGCCGAGCGAGCGTCACGCTGAGCTGGACGGACTGGCGATCACCACTAGCACGGTGGCAGCAGCCAGCTGGACCGCGTCTGGGCACCCAACGCGCCACAGGAAAGTCCATCCGTCAGAACAACATCCAACCGGCTCAAGCCCGAGGATGCTCGCACCATCCCAGCGTCGCTCGCGCTGCGGCCTCGGCGTGGCCGTGGCCCGAGGGCGCCGACACCGGCTGCAGTTCGGCGCCGGGACCTTGCCTGGTTCAGCAGCGTGGCCTCGGTGATGGGCCTGTCGGCGGCTGCCGGGTCCGGGCCGGCGGCGGCGGTGGTGGCGGCAGCGGTGGCGGCGGTGGGACAGGCCGCGATCGGCGTCAGGAACTCGCTGACCTGGGTCAGCCCCACCAGACGGGACTGCCGACCGCGCCGGCTCCGTCAGGCGGCGCTCTCCACCGGCCCGCGCAGCGCACGCACACACATGGTCTGATATCCACTTGGCCGTACACGTCTGCCCACATCCGCATACATCTGGCCGTACACATTTTTACATATCTGCCTGTGACGGCCATGCATACACTAGCCCGACAGCGCCCGCAGCTTAAGACCCCAATGATGTGACCGCTGCTAGCCGCCGGCGGGCTTACGCGTCCGAGCGCCCCGCTAGGCAATAGCTCTCTTTCACACATGACCCTCACGGTAATGCTGACACCCGTCATCGCCGACCCGTGCGCGAGCGTCGCTGCTGTCGCCCAGCCAGCCTCTGTGCACGAACGTCACTACCGCCGCCAGGCCGAGCGTTTCGTCAGGTCGCTACTGTCGCCCCAGCTGACCGACGCACCCGCCGCTGCCGGCGCCGGCCGGCCGACCGCCTACCTGAGCGCGCTTCTGCTGCTGCTGCATGGCGGTGAGCAGGAGGAAGGGGTCGGTGCTGGCGGCGGCGGCGCGCGCCCGTCCGCCCACCAGCCGCCGGTTGGCCCAGTCGTGGCAGACGAACTTGAGCACCTCGGCGCACTGGTCCCGCAGGGCGCTGCTCCACCGGCCGGCGAGACGCCGCGTCAGCCGCCAGGGCCACGGGGCCGCCGAGGCGGGCACGCATGTCGGCGCGCGGCTCAGTCCACACACGCAGCTGGTCTGAATCAGTCGCCTCAAACGCGTTCACAACTACGCCTTAGACGCATTTCATGCATTCAGGCCTGGAGCACATGCATATCATAAAACATGACAGAGTACTGTTCGGCATGACTCCCGTCGCGATCCTCGCCCCGCACGAACAGCGCTCCGAGACGCTGCCCAATCCCACAACGCTCCCCGCCGCCGCCGCCGCTGCTTCACTGACTCTGGATCGAGCTTGCCGGGGCCGACCACGGCCAGGCAGAGGAAGAGGCAGGCGCGCGCCACGGACGTGCACACGGCCGGGAAGCGGGGTTGCTCGGCCGAGCGCTCGTCCTCGTCCGACTCGTCGCCGTCGGCCGCCGCCGCCTTGCGCTCCTCGTCCTCGTCCGTCACCGTGCGCGTGCGGTGCCGCTTGCCTGCCGGCGGCGCCCCCGGGGTCAGGCCGGTACACGGCGCCGGCGCGTGCGGGCGCGGCGTGAGCGGCGCTCAGATTGAAAACTGGTCCTCACGGCCGGGCCGGCTCGGGCTCAGGTTTAATCACGGCTGGGGAGGGGCGACTGTGGCGCGGCGGACGCCGGCGGCGTCCAGGCTCAGGACGACGCCGGGCTGGCCGCCCTGCTCTGCTCTGGGTGCCCGCGTAAACCGACGCTCAAGGCTGGGGAGCGCCGGCTCTGTGAGGCACCCGACCCGACTATTCGGCGGACACGGGGCCCCGCGGAGGTGATTACAACGGCGGACACGGGGCCGCACGGAGGCGACTGCAGCGGCGGGCACGGGGCCACGTGGAAGCGATTACAACGGCGGACACGGAGCCGCACGGAGGCGACCGCAGCGGCGGGCACGGGGCCACGCGGAGGCGATTACAACGGCGGACACGCACGGTGCCCGGCGCTCCCAGCCGACCACCACAAATGGAAGGGTTTCGCAACCGCGACACGCAGACATGAACACCCCAGCAGAGCAGTCTGCGGTCAGGGCAACAGCCCAACGCTGATGCTGAATCAGTTGTTTTCAGGACACATGACGACCCGTGCGATGCAAGCGACGTGCACATCCTAACCACGCGCACAGGCGGCGGCAGCATCGGATGTGTCTGCATGACCGACGCGACAGCAGCCGGCGCACGGGCGGTGGGCGGAGAGCGCGGAGCGGGCGCCGGTGGCCGGCGGGCCGACAGGCGTACTCACGGCCGGTCCGCGGAGACGCGCTCTCCGCCGTGAACTGGCCCAGCAGCTCGTGTCGCACGCGGTACACCGTCTCGTAGATCATGTCCATGTCGCCACGGCTGCCGGCGGAGTGAATCACGGCATTCAGAGGTACGCACCCGCAGAGCTGCTTCGGCATTCGGGTCATTTGGCGGACCACTTGATTGGCCTGCATACTTAACACACTCACAAATAGAACCTCACGCAAAATACACAATAAACCAGGCGATGTCTTCAAGCTGAGGCGTCGCTCTATCTGCGACAAGCATGCAGCAGCATGAACAGTTATACTTTTGGGTGAGCTGTGAAAATACCTGCCAGGAGTGAGAAGAAGACTAGAGAAAGGTGCAACGAAAGGGTGCCAGAGGCGTGAGGCGTGAGGAGTGCATGAGAATCACGCGTGCGGGATGCGTGAGACGCTATGGGCGCGAGATGGGCGGAGAAAGGCGAGGGACAGGAGGCTAAAAAGCGCGAGAGAAAACGAGACGTACGAGGCGCGAGGAAAGAGGACGCGCGAAAGGTTTCAGGGGTGCCCGAGCGCCACCGAAGCGGCTGTGTTTGAGAGGGACAGCAGAGACGTGGGAGCGCGGGAGCGGAGACAACCCGTCTGACAGCGACGCCACAGCGTCTCACGGCGCGAGCGGCGAGCGCCCGGCGTCACGCACCGCGCCTGCTGAACGGTGGCGGCGTCGCAGCCGGTGTGCTTGAGCAGCGTGACGAGCAGCAGGCGGCAGACGAGCTCGGCCTGGCGCGGCAGCTCGTCAGGAGCCGGCTCCAGTCCCTCAGACACGCCGTACTCGTACAGCTCCTCGTACACGTACTCCTGCTTGTCTGCGCCCGTACACAGACGCACGCGGTCATTGCCAGCGGCCTCCAGCGGGTCTCACGTCCCGTTTGTAGAACAGTGCTGTGAGCAATGTGTGAAAGCGAAAAAAACACTCCTGCCACTGCGAAACCCACGACTGACGCAGAAGACATTACAATGTAACAATAACCAGAGGCACAACTCAATCGACCTCAATGTCAACTTAAAGGCGTGTTACAACGGTTCTGGCGCCGCCCGCACAAAACAATACATAATCTTGGCGCACGAGGCCTTTCAGCCCCGCTCAGCGCGACAGGCCGGCACGCACCGAAGCCGACGGCGGCGGCCAGGCCCAGCCGCTGGGCGTCGCTCCACCAGGCGACGGTGTCAAGCAGCCGGTTGAGCCGCGTGAGGCTGACCTCGGCCGTCAGCTGGCCGTCCCGGGTCAGGCAGGTCAGCAAGTCAGACAGCCGCACGCCTGCCGCAGCCGGGCTCCGGTCACCGGGGTCGCGGCGCCGGCGCGTGCGGGCGCGGCGTGAGCGGCGCTCAGATTGAAAACTGGTCCTCACGGCCGGGCCGGCTCGGGCTCAGGTTTAATCACGGCTGGGGAGGGGCGACTGTGGCGCGGCGGACGCCGGCGGCGTCCAGGCTCAGGACGACGCCGGGCTGGCCGCCCTGCTCTGCTCTGGGTGCCCGCGTAAACCGACGCTCGAGGCTGGGGAGCGCCGGCTCTGTGAGGCACCCGACACCACAGGACACAGTCATCCGACTCAGCTGGCCGTCAAGGGCCGACAACGTGGAGGTCGGCACTTCACGCGTTAAGTGGCGAAGGAGCGCACGTCTTCTGCTGTTAGTTCTGTTTAAGTATCCTCACACTAGAACGGCAATGGACCATGCCAGCAACGCCGACAGCAGACGGGGGCCGGGTGAACACTGATGCCGCGCGGCCGCCCCAGAGCAGCAGCCTGTGACCCACGACGGTGCACCAAACGACTTCTGCGCGGCACCAGAGCGGCACCACGCCATGACAGGGGCAAGGGATGGGGGGGGGGAGGGGGGCGCACCGATCAGCTCGCCGTCAGCCTCCATGCCGCGCGCCAGCAGCGGGCTGGCCAGCCAGCGGGCGGTCTCGGCCTCCTCGGGCAGCGGCGGCGGTCCGGCCAACAGACCGCCCACGCAGCGGCCCACCAGCAGAGCGCAGGCCTGCTCCGCGTCCGACAGCCACTGCCACTGCTCTGCGGAACGGCAGGGGGCGCTGTCAGGAGGGGCGTCGGCGCCGACACCGGCGTTCCGAGGCGGTTTCGCTCAGTACGACACCAGATGGAGCAGCATGGCTGATAGCAACGCCCCTTCGCCAGCCAAGTCACAACACCAGTCAGGGGCATTATTTACGCCAGACACCATCCCAGCAAGCAAACACAACGCCACAGTCACTGCACCTGCATATCTGCGGTTCGCACGTTTTCGAACGTTCATCTTTCAAAGAACGTATTTGCTTCGGACCCCCACATGAATGTCATCCATTAAGATATCCGCGCGCCACTGGTGCATGGCCAGCAACTCGCTCTGCCGGCAGGGACCTCTGCTCTGCCTGCCTCCGGCCCGCGGGCCCCGCCGGCAGCCCCCGCCCGCTGCCGGGACGGTGCGCCGCTCGCTCACTCACCTGCCGGGTCGGCCAGCTGTTCGGTGGTGAGCCTCACCAGGCCGTCGATAGATGGCAGCAGCGCCGTCAGGTGGCCCAGCAGTGAGCAGATCAGGCTGACGGGCAGCAACAGCAGAGCGTGCACCACCTTGGAGAGCATGGCGCCGCACGAGGAGAGCAGCAGCACCTCTGCGAGGGGGGGGGGGGGGGCGAGTCACGTCATCCCGCGGGGAGGAGGATCACGCCAGGATTGAAAACTGAAAACACGAGTCGAAATACGACGGTGGAGGGTCTCGAGCCCGCCACCTCGCGGTCACCAGCCGAGTTGACTCCACCTCAGCCACACAACACCGTCACCACCTACACCAGCAACACGGCGGCTAGCAGTTGCCACCCTGAGAACCCTTTTCACCACTCCGGGGCGTCACACACACACTTATTTATGTAAGCCGCGAGCACGCTTGTGTCAGCCACCAGGGCCTCGCGCCGACGCAGCCCAGCTCTCTGCAGACGCACACCGAGCTCCGCACTCCGACGCCGGCGCCGCGCACTGCGCCGCTCCGCTGCCGTCCGGCTCCGCGCGGAGACACAGTCGCTCTCTGGGCCCCCGCCGCACGCGTGGATCGCCACGGAGCGCGCCTCGGCCCGCACCGCCAGGCCCAAACCGCGGCGCGCACCTGTACCAGCCACCTTCTTAATGCGTTGTGTTTTCAAAATTACGTAAGGTGTTCAGTGCATTAGCGGGGAGCATTATTCACACTGATAAGACGGTAGTATTAGCCTTATTCCTCGAAAAAATCAGGAGAATGGAGATATACTTTGGTTCCAGCATAGTATAACCGGAAGAGTAGTTTGGTTCTAGATATAGTTTGGTTCCAGTAACCAAACCATATTTCCCTTCCCTGGCTTTTCCGAGGAATAATGCTAATACTACTGCTTTATCTGTGTTGTGTTTTCGACCATGTACGGACTCGCGTGACAACAATAGCGCACACAAACGCACACCTCTGCATTCTCTATCATCTGTACCTCACACAGATTTGCAGCGGAAACCGAAACCTGACGGCGGCGGGCTTCGAGCCCGCCACCTCGCGGTCGCCAGCCGAGCTGAACCTACCGTCGGCCAGCGTTCCAGCCGGCGCGCCACTGCGCTCAGCCTCACCTCTGACGGGCGCGGCCAAGCTGGGTCGGAGCGCGAGCACGGCCAGCGCGTGTGTGGCCGCCTCGCGCGCCAGCGGGAACAGCAGCGACAGGTGGCTCTGCAGCAGGCCCAGGCTGCTCTTGTACTGCCGGCCAGCGGGCGGGGGTCAGCGGGCGGGGCGGGGCGGGGCGGGGCGGGGCGGGGCGGGGCTAGCAGGCGGATCAGCACGCGTCAGCTGGCGCCGCAGCAGCCTGCTGTGACATTGCACTGCACCGGGGCACATGCACGCGCGCCGACCGTGCCCACCTCCGGAGAGGACGGAAGAGCCTACAGGCGGAGTACCGGACATAACAGAGCCGGACTGAGCTGATTCCACCACGACTCGACGGGTAACGTACCGTCGTGCAGAGCCGTGTCTACCCTCGAAAGTCGTTCGGTAATGCGCTTTGACGAGGGCAGTGAACTCATAACTTGGGAGGCACACCACAGACGGACAACTACCAGGCCTGCCGAGACCAAAAAGAGGGACACAACCGATCCCTCCATTCCATGAACAAGGCAGCAGCCGGCGGGCAGGCGACCTGACGCGGCCAGCTTGAGCCGCGCGGCGGGACAGACCTCGGCGCTGTCGACGTTGCAGGAGGCCGTGTAGCAGAAGGCCAGCAGGTGGCTCTGCAGGGACATGAGCAGCGCGCACAAGTGCGGCGAATGGTCGGTGGGCGCCTCGGCCGCCACCTCGCCCGGCGCCGACCTCTCCACAGACACCAGCCGCCGCTCCTGCAGCACAAACGGCACGCCCTCTCGCACCGGCTGTACGTGGCACGCCGACAGACGGGATCCGACTTAATCTGCGTCGCAGTCCCACACCGGAGGGGAAGGATCCCATCTCGGCAGTGTGCAAAACGGCATTTCTTCCATCTGCCGAACTACGGCAGCGGCTACATCAGGTTAGTGCAGTACTGAAGGCGCCGGTACAACACCATACACGCCTGGGAGGTTTAGACGGCGCGCCTCTTACACCGCCCGCGCAGCCAGCCCACACCCAGCACCTACCCTTGCACCACCTGCTGGACCTCACGGACGCATGCTCAATACATGCACGAAACACTGATCTGTGAACGCAAGAGATTAACATACGCCACCCAGCTTGGCACCGACCATCTCCGACGCGTCACTGCCAGTTTGACGGCCCGCCGCTGGCGAGGCGTCGGCGTCGGCGCGCGCTACGCACCGTGTCGAAGCCCACGTTCCTGAGCAGCGTCTTCATGAGCAGGAGGGCGACGGCCGGGTCGGCGGCGGTGCCGTGGGCTGGCCCGTAGCCGAGCAGCGCCGCCACCTGGGTGTGCTCCTCCAGCGACGTCAGGATCATGCTCAGCTGCAGCTCCTGCAGCGCAGCGGGGGCGGCGCGGTCAGCGGCGCCGGCGCCAGGCACACGACTCGGGAGTAGAACAAGGCGGTGGGTGCGAATACGTTGACAGAGACACGTACGAGCCTTCGCGCTTTCAGGAACGATGCCAGGCGTCAACATGGACATCAGTGACGGCCACAGAACTACACTGTGGGCAAAACACAACCATACACGAAGCGAAAGAATGTACTTGATACACAGACCAGGGGGCTTTATTATAAGTAAATAAGAAGGTTTAACCAGAGAAAATGATGATGTTTGCCACATTATCATCACCCGCCTGGAGCTGGGGCAGAGTGGGGAGTATACAGAGAGACCAACCAGCGACAGCTGTACACGGTGAGGTCAGCTGCATCACCAGCCCTGCCGTCTCCTCCCTAACCCGCTCCACCTCGCCCCACCCCGCCCCAGACCCAGCCCCTAGCCCTAATCCTAACCCTAGTCCTAGCCCTAGCCCTAGTCCTAGCCCTAGCCCTAGCCCTAGCCCCAGCCCCAGCTCCAGCCTAAGCCCCAGCCCTGGCCCTAACTCCAGCCCCAGCCTTAACCCTACAGCCCCAACTCCAGCCATAGAGCCCCAGAGCCTCACAGGCCCAGCGCCCCAGCATCAGCCCAGCCCCCAGGCCGCAGCGCTAGCGCCGGCGCCGCACACCTGTCCGTCGCTCAGTCTGGAGGCGCAGTCGGGCCCCTGCGGCAGCAGCGAGTGCAGGATCTCCATGCGCTCGCGGAGGGGCGGCAGCAGCAGCGGGGCGCCGATCTTGAGCGCCTCCAGCACGGCCGTCTGGAGGCAGCTCGGCAGGCTGGTGTCGATCAGTCTGGGGACGGCCGCGAACGTGTGAGGGACCGCGCTCCACACCAGTCTGTGGACGGCCGCGAACGTGTGAGGAACCGCGCTCCACACCAGTCTGAGGACGGCCGCGAACGTGTGAGGAGCCGCGCTCCACACCAGTCTGAGGACGGCCGCGAACGTGTGACGAACCGCACTCCACACCAGTCTGGGAACCTGTAGCACGCGCATGTACCTGCGCACAACATCCGTATGTCGTGCGCAGCAATGTACGTACGTCCGACGTTCGAACGTAGTCCGAACGTCAAATGTACGTTTATCGTACGTGCGTAGTACAATTAACGTACGACGTACAACGAACTGACTTGAGTACAGTATGTTGACTGCAGGAGGCCCTGGCGCTCCGACCTAACCAGCACTGTTTTCTGGTACCCCTGACCCTGACCTGAGCTGCAGTAGCCAATTCCCAAGTGATCCCGACCTCAACCTGACCTACAAACGTCCACCACGACGTTGTTCCCACCGCTGTCGCTGACCCCCTTGCGACGTTCCCAGCCGCCCGGCCACGCGGCCCGGCAGCGCGGTGACCCCGGCGAGGCCTGACCTGAAGAGGAGCGTGCGCAGACTGCGCGCCTGTCCGCCGGTCACGCCGGCGTCCAGCCCGCTACGGATGGCCAGCGACAGGTGCGTCCGCAGCAGGCCCAGCAACGCCTGCAGAAACTGCAGGTGCAGCCTGGCGCAGCGGCCGGCGACGGACGGGTCACGGTCCAGCGCGCGGGGCCTGCGTCCGTCGACGCGACCCACACGGCACGAGTGACGCGCCGTCCGAGCTCACGGCGATCGGGTCCGAGACGGTATGGAGCTTAACACGCCAGCTCGCACTCCCACAAGACGCCATTTGCAGCTAGCGAAGTCGTACGAGTCAAAGTGTCCGTTCCCACAGTCGCACGCACACCCGCTGACACCACGGCCGCGGAGATTACGGAGAGCCGCCGGTTGCAAGGACGGCGCTGAATGTCCAGACTGTGGTCGCGGTAGTGGCATAAAGGAAGAAACTCAGAAAACAAAGCCCGATAAATACGCAGAGTCTCGGGACCGTCGCGCTCACCATAAAACCATGCAACATATGCAACTTTGTCAATCACGTTGACGCCAGCGTCACCGCGGCGACGCCCACTGCAAGAGCCGTCACGGGCCGCGGTCGCTACGTACTGCTGGGAGCCGAAGGGCAGCGGCGGCCGGTCCGACTCCAGGCCGGTGCAGTAGCGCTCCAGCAGCGAGTGCATCAGGCCCAGGGTGGTCTCGTCCAGACTGACGCAGTACGGTCGGCTGAGCGCGTACGCCTGTCTGCTGACCCCGGGCGCAAGATCATCAGCAGGCAGCCAGCGGGCATCGGGTCAGAACGTGCTCGCCTGACTGGCCAGACCAGGGGTCACACTGGCGAGGCATAGCTGGATGCAGTGTTAGATTGGTGACACACTGTGAAATGTATTTTCATAGTCCACTGACCCCGACCTCGGACAAAATTCAGGGGATTTCACGACATGGGACGATGCAGACGTGATGTTGGATGGATGAGGTGAATGAGATGGTTGTATTGTCCCCGATTGGAAAGGACTGCGGTTGGTGGCAGCAGCCGCGCTCAGTCGTGACGTCAAAGCGCTAGACTACCTGTGCCGAGCATTGCGGCACGCTATGCTTTCGACGCCGTTAACTTGGAATTTCAAGGCCGGGTGGTGGGGCCAGCGCTCAGGGAACAATTACTGCGCAGTATGGGCGCTGCTCTCAGGAATTCAACCAATAGTTTCCAACATGTTACAAAACAAGAATAAGTTGCCTACTTAGCATAAAGTGAGAGTATGAAAGCATGAAATCACGGACGTGAAAACATGACAGCAGTGCCTTTCAGTACGAAGCACACAACTAAATCACGGGTATGTTAAATGAGAGCTCTGTAATCGCGGAGGCTTTTCACAGCTCACAGTTTACGGGCATCAGACAAGGACGTGCACTGCCACACCCACTGGGTGAAGTGCTCGGAACGACACGGGGCTATGCTATCCATCCTAGCTGCCTGGCGAATGTGGCATGTGACCATGCCATCCCGAGCAGCGCCGGGGAGACATCAGGACACCGGACCCTCCCAGCCGGGTGGCATGGCACAGGGCGGAGACATCCCCGAGGGGTCTCGGTCCGACCTGTCCTGGGGGCTGGCTGCGGGGCTGCGGTCCCACCCGACCCCGGTCAGGTGCCGCCCCGTCCCTGAACGGTCGCCAGCCGGACCCGTCCCTGGGACGAGGCGGCAGTCCAACTTGCTCCGGCTCGGAGCCCCGCCCGGGAGAGGAGAGCCGTCCCAGGCGGTGACCCGCCCCGGAGGCGGGCGGGCCTCACCCCGCGCCCTGACCTGTCGCGGGGCGGCGCGGTCCAGGCGCAGCTGTGGCTGGTGCCGGCCGACACCTGACGCACGGCCACCTCCTCCAAACCGAGCACCTTGCGTGGCCGCCAGACGGGCGTGTTGGTGTGGCCCAGCCCGCACTGCCCCATCGAGTTGTTGCCCCAGGCGAACACCTCGTGGTCCTGCCGACAGACGCAGCGCATCGAACACCAACGACTGGGGTCACAATGGGATGCGTGGTAAACGGGCACGGCGCATTCGAAGATCGTCGGACACAGCTTCCGAAAACGCGGACACACAGTTCATGTCCAGCTCTTCAGGTACAGTCGTCCATATTCTATGTTTTGATACACAAGCTTCAATTTAGGTGTACGTGAACAGCTGAACACCAATGGCCGGCTGCATCACTTTCCGGACCAACACACCCCAATGTCGGCGCACATCGCCATCCTGACAACCGTCGGGCGGCCTGCCCTGCGCCCCATCACCGCGGCCAGCCCGGCAATGCTGTCCCACCGCGCCGCCCGCGCGAGCGGCGTCGGCGCCCGTACCTGGGTCAGCGCCAGACAGTGCGAGTCGCCCAGCGAGACGTCCGTGACGCGCAGCTCGGCCAGCACCTCGACCAGGGCGGGGCGCAGGCACGCCACGTCCGGCGAGCCCTGGCCCAGGCAGACGCCGCCGCCCCACGACCAGAGCCGCAGCGGGCCCGCCTCCTCGCCCTGCCGACGCGGCCGTGACGCGGGGTCAGGAGGAGGGTGGGAGAAGGGGTCTAGGCCCAATCGTGCGCCAGGCGTCAGAACAACACTACATACAATCCGAACAAGAAGGCCTAGGGAAAACCCCTATCGTCCGCACCTGGCATGGCCCATCCTAACAAAGCAGCTCCCGACTCCTGGCAGGGTCCTCGCGCCCACCACGGTCCCCAAGCACTTCACTGGTCTCCCCCTCCCCCCCCCCCCCCCCACCGACGCCCGCGCGCCGCCCGATCCCCGTGCGCGCTGCCGTCTCACCGGTGCCGCCTGCGACGTCAGGGCCAGGGAGCACTGGTTGCCGGCCGCCACCTTGACCACCGTGAGGCCGGAGAACGCCTCGATCACTTTGGGCCGAAACTGGCGCGCCAGGTCGCCGTGGCCCAGCCGGCCGTTGTCGCCTGTCCGAGGGCGCAGGTCAGGCGGATCACGAACCGACGGAGTCACACGAGTGCGGCGACTCCGCGCCGCCGTGACGCGGACGCACGGAACGCATGCACGCACGCACACGCGTCTACACACGTACACAAACTAAAGATTGGCACCAGCCCCAGCATGTCATGCGAGCACGCAGGTGGCCGATGGGAAAAGCAGAGGCGGTTAGCCGCGGGGTATTCCATCCACACGTACGTTGCGCATCAACAGCTCCTTCAGGTGCAATTACGAAACATCTCCCACCATCAGCGCGCGCTCTGCCGCAGACCGCACGTCGACATCGACCGGCCGCTGTATCCGCCGCCGCGCCTTCCCGGCGGACCGGACCAGACCGATGGCCGGCAGCAGCTCAGCGTCGGCCGGCGCCTCGGCACCGCGCCGCGCGACGACCGGCGCGCGCCGCCGCTGACCTGAGCCGAACGACCAGACGGTGCGTCCGTCGGCGGAGACGGCCAGCGTGTGGGCCGAGCCGCAGTCCACCTGGCCGACGGCGCTCAGCTCGGACACCAGCGTCGGCACGTTACGGCTGTTGTTGTCGCCGTGACCTGGCGGGCGGCGGCGGCCGCGTCACAAACACACGCTGGAATTTTCGGGCGCGTCGATTCCCAGGGTCATCTTGCATCCATGACGATGTCCTCCCCAATGAGTGAGATGCAGGGCGGCGCATACGTTTGCCGTTCCAACACCGGCCAGCAGCGGTGGAACTCACCCAGGCGGCCGTGCTCGCCCTCTCCCCAGGTGTAGAGTCGACCGTCCGCGGTGACGCAGGCCGAGTGTCTGTAGCCGGCCGACACGGTCGTCACGGTCTTGCCCGCCAGCGGGCCGTCCACGCGCCGCGGGTACTTCTGCGTGACCGTGTTGCCGTGTCCCAGCTTGCCGTAGTCGCCTGCGGGGGAGGCCGTCAGCCTGGCGCCGCTACGGTTCTGGCAGGACGCTCCGCTAGCAGAGCCGAGAGCAGAGACTGGCACAGGCCGAACCCAGCCTGATCACGCCGCGCTGGCAGGCGCACCAACGGTCACACGTTTGTAGGAGTACACCGCTACGTCCCGGAAACGATACCATAAAGGAAAAGCTATACGCAAGCCATAAAAGACTCCGTAAGAAACACTCACGATAAGCCATGCAAATCCTCAAAAGCCAAAACCTCCCCGTCTTTCGTCGCGGGTACCCTACACATGTCCCCTGCTCGAATGCGACCCGACCAGAAAAACAGCCGCAGCGTTCAGTCGACGCCGACGGCGTCTGCCGGCGGTCGGAGCATCGGCGGCGGGAGCTGGCGCCGGAGCCGGAGCCGGAGCCGGCCGCGGGCACCTACCGTCTCCCCAGCTGTAGACGCGTCCGTCGGTGGCGACGGCCAGTGTGTGCCCGTCGCTGCCTTTGCTGCTGGCCACCGCCCGGCACGGCGGGTCCAGCGACACTCTGCCAGGGCGGGCCCGTCAGCTCGCGGCGCACCCGCCGACTCGCCGCACACGCTGCTAAACCACTGGGTTCTTTTCGAAAAGACACCGCCGGAGTGCTCCAACTAGTTTAGACGCGTTTACGCATAAAACCGTGCGGCCAGAAATGTGTTTGCACGGGGTTATAAAAGTCATTTGACAGCATACAAAGTCCGGTCGGAAGTTTTCACACGAGCCATTGATATCAAACACTACTGCACAACGACCGCTGGAAGCTATAAGGATCTCGAAGGACGAAGTTGTAGCATGGTTTCTTATGACGATCCTACTTCTGCCAGCACACCATTAGAGCTTCTCAACAGTCATACACTGACAGCCGAATACACCCGGCGTGCAGCTACGCCGTAGTGGAAGCGGATGCCCACAAATCCACCGCACCGCTGCACCCATCGGCCCTTCACACAGACGGCGTCCCCAGAGGGCGCAGCGGGCGTCGACCGCCGTGCCCCAGCGGCGCCCTCACCTCCGTGGCAGCGGCTGGTTGGCCGAGTCTCCCAGTCCGAGCCGGCCGTACGAGCCCTTGCCGCACGCCGACACCGTGCCGTCGGCGTGAACCGTGAACGAGCAGTACTGGCCGGCCTCCATCTGACGGCGGCGGAGGGCGGCGCCGTCAACAGCGCCGCACGTGTCGCTGCCGTCAGGCTCTAGCGACGTAGAGCCGGCGCAGGCTGGGTTGTTGGCTGTGCGGTGCCTGGGAGCGGTGCCATGGACCTCCCCATGGGAGCCTGGATATCATCGACTTCAGCGGTCACATACTGCGGGCGGGATTCGAACAACACGGACTGCGCGCGCACTTCACACGGTTAGTCATGCAGCAGGGCACGTCAAGCACACCACACAAGTTTAAGACATTAGAAACATTTGAAACACACGTTCCTTTCACACAGCTCCCCTAAAAAACGCCCACGCTCGGACTACGCCGACAGTAAAGCGAGCGGACACTCCATCGCCGGACGTCACCTGCTGGACGTTCTCGAAGGCAGGGGCGAGCCGGGCGGCGAGGATTTTGTCCTGGCTGGGCTCCGACAGCTGGCACGAGGAGTTGCTGCCCCACACGTACACGGCCCAGCTGTCGGCCCGCGGTGGACACTGGGCGCCGTCGCTCGGCGCCACGTGCTCCTCTGCCGGGCGCGGTACATGCGGGCTCAGACCGCGGCGCTGAGGTGGCCGGCTCGGCCACACGGACCGGTCAGCAGAACGTCAGTGGGACAATGACAAACAGTCTCTTTATGCTAAACCCACACAATCTTATCCGTGGGTGCTAAAGCCACTTCATCCACACAAAACTCTAGCGCACAGCGCACACCACATATGGGCGGAGCACGACGCCACGGAAGACCACGCCTCCCGAGCCAGCGAGGCCGGCTGACAAACCTCCCCCGACTGAGGGTATCACGCCCCTCACCGGCGCCGCCGCCGCCGTGCTCACCGGCCATCACCACCAGTCTCAGCAGCAGGCACATGGCAGCGTCCAGCAGCGGCACCTCCCGATCCGGCGGACCGTCGCCGGTCGTGTCTCGGCCGCCCAGCACGCGCAGCATGCGGCCCAGGTACTCGGCCGAGAGCACCGGCCGGCTGGGGACGGCCGAGGCCCGTCAGAGGGCGTCGGCGTGGCCCTCACGCGGCGGACTGGCGAACCACAGCACGACAAGCCACGAGGGTCACACCCACCGCGTCGCAGGGGCCGCGCCCGCAGAGCCGCGCACACCGCGGCCCGACCCGGCCAACACGTGACGACACGTTGTGCCTAAACACACAGAAGACGCAATGGTCTACTACTTTTTCTGATGGTCTTTAACAGCAATGAAAGCAAGTCTCCCTTGCCTCCACTGCATGGCGACTGTGAGCGCCGTTTCACGGGACTCCCAGGCTGCCGGGCCGAGCTCATTCCACCACGCCGGGCCAACACACGATGGCGCCTCCGCGCCACGAGTCCGTGTGGTTGGTATGAAGGCTGGGGGGGGGGGGGGGGGGGCTGACCTGACGTCGGGCCGCTGGGCGGCCTCGGTGGAGGCGGCCAACGCCATGTCCAGCCAGTCCAGCAGGTGACGAAGCGAGCCCCGCTGAACAGCCAGGCCCAGCAGCAGCTGGGAGGCCAGCAGCCGGCCTGGAGGCGGCCGACCAGCGTCACAGGCGGCCGGACAGCACAGCACGCACACGGTTACGGCACAGCAGACGTTACCACAGCACACACACGGTTACGGCACAGCAGACGTTACCACAGCACACAACACAGCGTCACAGCACACTGGACACATAGAGCGCACGCGGTCGCAGCGCAGCACGGCAAACACTGCTACGGCATATTGCACAGCGTCACAATATACTAGATGGCATCACAGCACATTGCAGAGCGCCCCAGAGTAGAACCCATCGGTGTCCCGCAGCAGAATATATCGGTACTCATTGTCTACACTCGATGAAAGGATTAACTAAGGTACAATGTAACTAAAACTTGTGCTTGAAATGGTCTGCGAAATCATCAGTAGATACACTGAACCTATTTTCAAAACTTCATTCAGCTTCGCAACAAGGAGGGTAGAAGCCCAGGTGCAGATCTGTAGATCCAACCATTACAATCAAAGCCCAACACGACACACAGACACCCGATCGCAATGGCCACCCGCCTCTGCGGGCGCTCCCCGGTCTCCCAGTCGCTCTGCCCTGCGCAGGACGAGCCGTTACCCTGGGCGTCGGCGGTGGACGACGGCAGCGCCACGGAGCGGAGGAAGCGCGAAACATCAGCCAGGCTCTGCCGTCCGATCGGGGAGAGCTTGGCGTCGCTGGCCAGCGAGAGCGGCGGCAGCGCGCCCACTGTGTCCAGCGCCGTCTGCAGCACGTCGGTGCCGATCGCTGCCGGCAGGGGCGCCGCGTCAGGGCACGCTCGGGGGAGCGCGCCGGTCATACAACCACCTCGCCTTGCAAGCATGCTAGCAAGAATTATATTATTAATGTTACATCTTCATTTACGTCCTTCTGACCGGCAGTCCGTGTTTTCTCTTCCAACTCTGCATGTGGCATCTCAGAGTTACACAATGCACGCACCAATCGTATCTCCTCTACCACAGCACGATACTCCGCACACCAGTACGGAACTTGTCTTCATTAGATACTCATCCTATCGAAGCAATATAAACTGCACTACGAGCAAAGTACCTAGCACTAATTCCCATCAGCTCCTCCTTTTGTTTCACTGCACCAACCAGCGGCGATTTCGCCCCCCCCCCCCCCCCCCCACAGCTATCAGCGGCCACGCCCAGCTGTAGGTGGGTCCAGCTCACCGGCACCGCTCTGCTGTGCCCAGCTCTGGCGGAGAAGCGCGAAGACCAGCGTCAGCCCGGTCTTGACGCTCATGGCGATGAGGGCCGAGTGTCCGCCGCCGCCGCCGCAGCCGCCGCTGTCATCAGCCTCGCCCTCGGCGCCGGCCCGCTCTGAGCCGCGGCGACTCTGCGCCAGCGAGCCCGCCTGGCCGCCGGCCACACAGGCATTGTCAGTCTGAGGCCAGTCACACTCAGACACCGCTCTGAGCCGCGGCGACTCTGCGCCTGCGAGCCCGCCTGGCCGCCGGCCACACAGGCACTGTCAGTCTGAGGCCAGTCACACTCAGACACCGCTCTGAGCCGCGGCGACTCTGCGCCAGCGAGCCCGCCTGGCCGCCGGCCACACAGGCACTGTCAGTCTGAGGCCAGTCACACTCAGACACAGCGCAGAGCCGCTCACACAGGCCCTACAGCTGCGCGTCGGGGAAAATAGAGGAACGGGGTTCGATTCCCCGCGGTGCCCGTCCTTTCCGCCCGGGTGGGAGGCAGGCGGCACCATACAGTCCCAGCAACTGAGCGCGTCGTAAAGCCCTAATGACGCACGGCCACATCGTGCGGAGCTGCAGCCTGTCCGCACGCCACCAGCACAAGGAACCGCGTTCAGACATTGTACAGCCGCAGTCTCTGGCCATGCAGATTACAGGTAGACCTGCTTCTAAGCGCACAATCCAACACACTCGGGCCCCAGGCCTTCCAATCGTTATACAGCATCATACCGCATCTTTCCGCCTCACCTGGCCGGCATCGTGATATTTGGCAGAGAGCGCGTGGAAAATGCGTCGCAGGACGACCAGCCGGCGGCGGAGCACCGCCGAGAACGGCGCCTCGGCCACCTCGGCGGCGGCCAGGCTCAGCTGCAGCGTCAGCAGGCTGTTGACGAACGCCTCGTGGTCGGCGCCGGCCGCGCCGCTGTCCGACTCGAAGTCCGGCAGCTTGGCGCCCGGCAGCATGGGGAACGAGTCGTGCTGCGGCACCACCTCCTGCGGCGGCGGAGCGGGCACAACGTTGTCAGGTGATAACAGCTGATAATTTGCTGACACATGCGACTGTTACTGGCTGGAGGAGGGTCACAACGTCTCGAGACAATCACGGTCACCGATAGAATAACGCTCCACCGATCGCGCGGCTTGCGCCCGCAGGAGGAAGAATGGTGGGGAACAGAATGGAATGTCGGTGCATGAACGGGAAGTGAGGCAAATGAGCGACAGTCTCTACATCTCCGCAGCATGTCGGACCTGCTGCCCCCGGAGGCAGGCGCCGACACCCGTGTCGGTGGCGCCACCAGCCAGCAGTGGCCACCTGCTAAACAAGTTAAGTTGCCTACTGCCCTGAGTGCTGCCCATCGCGCCTGGCAGGATAGCAGGAGAGTCTGTCACCTCTCACCCGCACCGCAGCGCCGCTGCATCGCCGCGCGGCAGGCAGTGCCACGGGGCAGTCTAGCAGACTGATGCCCCACCTTGGTCTCCAGCAGCCGGGTATACAGCTGCTCAGTGACATCACGCTGGCACAGCTCCTCTGGCCGCTCAGCCAGCCAGGCAGAGTTCAGGTGATCTGACCACTTGAGCTTCAGTGTCCAGCCAGCCATGCTGCCAGGCTGCGACTCCTGGGAATGGAAGCAGGAGCTGAGTCAGCTGGTCAGGCTGGGCTGATGCAGCCAAGAGTTAGAGACTGGCATCCATGTATACAATCACAGAAAGAAAAGTGTCAGTGTAGACTGAGTGCACATGGGGGTAAGCCACAGCACCTTCAAAGCCTTCAAGAAAGATGCATTCTGATTTAAAGGCCTGGAAGGCAAGATGCAGTTTGATCAAACAGGCAACTACAAACTGGAATCTGCTTGACTTACAGTCCCCTTGAATGTAAACATAAGTTATGATAGGAAGGGTATGCATGTTCAGCTGACAATAAAAGCTTTTCTGCTTTCTTTCAAAATGTTTTCAATGTGATTGCCAGATGGCTTAAGAAGCATGTAAGCAGCATATGCCCTATTTTATTTCTATAACAGTGGTTATTAAATGGTTGATTCTCTGTATACTGTTAGATGACAACCCAGACAACAAGATTGAGGCTGATCACAAGCTCAGGCATTGTACACTTAAGTCAAGATATGAGCTTGAGCATGGTGTACTTTAACTTACCCAGAGTGATACCAATGTGCAGTAACCACTGCTTTGAAAGCATGGGTGCTGTCAGCTGGTTTGTCTATGATTCTTGACTTTTATGGGCATGCTGCTTCACTCATAAAATGTGTGTGCTTGATACCATAGATAGGCATTGCCACCTTGCATGCTGTACAAGCCAGATTACAATGCCCAAAAGCCCAAGCGGATAACAAAATATAGCATGTGGTGGGAAAATGTTCATTACAGGTCCAACCTTTCCAAGCGTCCACCCACACCCAAAACATGGTTGTTGAAAGAAAAAGTGTACTGCTTGCGAAGTCAAAAAAGTCTTCCAAATTGCAAATATGCTGCTGTCAACAGACAGGTAGCAGCAATGCAGATGTGCATAATTAATTTACTACACAGGAGAGTCAGTTCTTCAATATTATTAATAGTTTGTCAGTACATGTCTACATATGTATGAAAGAAAATGTCTGCTCATGACAAGTGCACAATACTTCATCCATGTCAATGTAATTTGATTTAACACACTGGTACAGCATGTACTGTTATCATATAGGTACGTGTTTGTTTGCCTAACTGTCCATAGGCGTTATGCAGCCACCCAAGTCCACACCTCGTCAAATAAGCTGGGTTTTCGCCTACTTTAGATCAGGGCATTGGGTTACACTAACACACCATTAACGATAATGACTACCTACCTTACGCCAAAATAAGGAACAGAACCGGTTTTACTTCATCATTTGGGTTCGAAAAAGATGAGTAAGGTAACTAATAAAACAATAAACCATCGGGAGCCTGCGGAACGCCTATACATCCCGAGAGCACAAGCCCCCGAACCCGCACGGAGCCAGATATGCCGCGCGTGCTTCCGTTGTTTACATGGACAGCTGATTTGCTCAAGAGCTATTATTGCATGTGCTCACAGCACCAGACGGCAAGCAATATTTTCTTGCCATCAGCCAATCACTTTCGAGAATAACAATCTATCATGAGCACAGTGAAGTGCCAAAAACCTAAGAATATAACTTTAACGAGGGAGTGTTATAAGCCGCTCATAAGTTGCACCACGCATGAAGGTGCAGATGCGTTTTTTCACGCACTAAGGGGGGTAGGGGAGATGAGGCGTAACCGAAGGGTAACAAGGGGGTGACGTTTACAGTTGACTTCTCATGACAACCAACTCGTGGTTTATGTTTCTTGCATCCAGCTCCATTGGGGGCCAAACCATAAATGTATCAAAACTGTAATTGGGCACACAGCTGCATCCTGCACATCTCTGAAAATTGAGATAAGATATTTGCTTACATCTGCAATTTTACATTAACATCTGCAACATTTTTCGAAGTTCCGCCTCTCAGCGCCTTTGCCGTTTGGCCGCCAAACGGGCGTCACGTTTTCGTGACGCTACGCTTGACACCCGTAACTAGGGGATGAGGTTGTCCAGCCCCAGTGTAACCATTGGGTGACCAGTAGTTTGAGAGTTTGCCAAAATTTGTCAGGTAATTCATTGACAGCGCAAACTGGTGACAGGCATAGGCATTTAAGTACGTACAATCATGGGTTCCGTCGTGGGTAGGGAACAGGAAAGCGTGTACCTTTAGGTCTTTGTAGTAATTTGTAGTTAATCCCTCAAAGCTTTCAAGGCTATACCTACCGTAGGCTTTCCACTAGTGCAACAATGTCGTAAGCGTGTTTGAAAAAGCAGTTCCCTTAGCGTTAACCAGTAGTGCAGGCGGGGATGGGGACCAGGAAGCACGTGCCTCCGTTAGGTTCCGGGAGGCCCTTCGGTTCCCTCGGAACTTGCGATTAAGGATAATACAGAGGTCTCATTCAGGGCCGGGCACCCCATTGCCAGCCAGAGGGCCCTATGCGCTGATCAGGGCCCACTAAGTTGATAAGGGCCTATATTTCGGTCAGACTTCGCCAGTAACGCACAGTCGGCCGTGGCGGCATGGGCCTGAGGGCCCATTTTCCAAGCAAAGACAAAGCCGGAGCCAGCGATTTACATTACTCGGAGCCCCACAGCGCGTAACAGGGCCATGTGGCATGAAGAGCCTAGGGGGCCCACCAGGTTCGACGATCAAGGGCACTTTTGGAGGGTCTAAGGACAAAAAGGGCTGGTCGGAGTCTTATTGAGGGGCCCGACCTGCGAAGACGGACCCGTAAGCAACAGTCATAGTGTCGTTTGCGCCGATCGGGGGCTCCCTGAGTCAACATGGGCTTATATGTCAGTCAGACACTGCCAGTACCGCACAGTCGGCCCCGTGTTGGTATTAGCCTGAGGACCCACTTCTCAATCAGCTGCAAAGCTGGGGCCAGTGATTTACATTGGTCGTAGCCTCTGCATCTGTAAGGGACCCACAGTGTCTAACAAAGGGCCCTGTGCTCGCAAGGGGCCTCGCGCCGACCAAGGGCAGTGCTTGATGAGACCCGAGGAGGAGCCCAGACGGTTCTCGGAAACCGACGATCAAAGGCCCGGTTGGAGGACATAACTAACCGAAGGACTGGCTGTAGACCACATAAAGAATCGCGGCCCGTGGGGTAGTGACCTGAAATATCAGTCCGAGGTTCTGTTGCACCTTTTGAGAAACCCCTGAGACAATGCGGGTGTCTAAGTCGGTAAGAGACCACGAAAACCGAACAGTCGGCTCCATGGCCGTTTGGGGCCCTGCCCCCCCCCCCCTCCCCAAGAATCATTATTCAAGCAGAAACGAGGCCGGGGCCCGCGATTTGCAATGTTCGGGGTCCCTGACACAATGAGGGGCTCCTGTTTCTATTAGTGGCCACAGTGACGGACAGGGGTCCTGCGATGTCAAGTGGCCCTGAGTCGAAGCGGTGTTTGAGGGAGGCCCGAAGAGTGACCGAAGGGTCTCTCGAGACAAAAGATCAGGAGCCGGATAGGATGGCTGAAGGGTCCGAACGGCTGGCTGTAGGTCACATTAAGGACCCTGTCCATGGGGTCGCGATCTCAATTGTCAGTGGGATGATCTCTTGCACCGATGGGAATCCCTGAGACAGAGTGTTCCTGCATCTCGACCAGAGATCACGAACAACGAACAGTCGGCTCCGTGTTGGTCTGAGCTCTGTGGGCCCATTTCCCAAGCAAAGACAAGGCCAGGCCCGCAATTTACATTGGTCGTGCTCCTATATCGTTCAGGAGCCCACAGTGCCTAACAGGGTATTCTGCCAACAAGGGGTCTCGATTCGATCACAGGAAGATTTGCTCAACAGGGACGGGGACGCGAGCCCGAATGACAGAGGGTCTGTTGCATTGGCCGCGGCCTTCCGACAACTAAAAGAAACATACGAACTTATGATGAGCGCTCACATTCTGTAAGTAACGCCAGGGGGCGGGCGCCGGACGTGCAGCAATGGTCATCGCAAGATAATGCTTTTGAATGTCTTTCAAAATTGGTTCGTAAATTTCAGAGATCGCACTGGGCAAATATTTTTTACAACTTTGAGACTGCCATCTGAACAGATTAAAGCTACAGCAACACAGAAAATGGAGATTTCACCCTACTCTTTCAGTTCCACCTCAAAATTCCAGGACCATTTTGCGGTGTTGTAGGGACCATACGTTACTGTCAGAGACCAAAGACCATACGCTACAGTCTAGAATCCACACAGGTGAAATATGCCACTGGAATGTCTCTAAGTGTGCGTTTTGATTTCCAAAAGCGTTCAAAGGTACCTCTTTCAGATGCGTCACCATTTTTGCCCATCTGTTGACCACGGCCTAATGTTAGTTAGCCACAGGGCCGACGCTGCGCGGCTTAGGTACACTGCAACGCCTGGCGTCGAGTTTTTTGTTCTAAGATATGTCAGTGCGCATGCTCAAAACTACGTTACAAAATTTATACCACTAATTAACTCTGACTTAATGTTCAATGTACCCAAACATACATGACTTGGTCATGTTAATACAAATTGTTAACCCATTTTGGTCTTCAGTCTACTTTCACAGAATCTTTGCTAACTCTGTACAACCCACATACAAAATCTGACGGCATTTCTGAGTTCTACCCGTTGAAAAGAGTGTGCTGGATCACTGTAAAATGAAGAGCGCCGGGTATTTATTTCATGCAGTCACTGAACGCATGATTTTTCCATTTTATTCTCTGTAAACTGGAGCCAAAATTGATCTCGTGGTAGCATCTGGCCTATATTTCCATTGAGAAGGTAGAACGTGTAACATATATATATATATATATATATATATATATATATATATATAAGAAAAACATGCTCTTAAAAGCAAATGGGCCATATACAGCGATTTTTTCGGGGACCCTTTTACTATCAGGGGGCCCTTGTCAACCCTGCGCCCCACCAATGCCCCTTGGCAAGGCTCTGGCTGCGCCCCTGTCGTTGGCGCGTGTTACTACATTGCAATAATTTTAGGGGAAACTTGGAAGCATCGTCTGAAGTGCTGGTTGTTCACTGTCTCCTTACGGCGCTGGGTTGCGAAATGTGTCCTCAAACGCCTAGGCATCCGCCGCGCGCATATGTGGTGCACATGAGCTGTGACAGATAAGCCAATCCAATCATTGCACTAGACGACCCGTGGTCAACTCCACATTAAAACGAAGATGAGCGCCAGTGTCATGGCATACTGCTGTTTGGGCCGATTAGTTTTTGTCACCTTTAGCTGCGATCCTCAGCAGTCAAATACACAGCGGCACGTTCGCATGCTCGGCGCCAGGAAGCCCCCAGTGCGAATCTGTGACTTCATTGCCAATACGCAGCTGGCTCCATGCCGGCAAATGAGCGGGACATTTTATATCGACAAAAGCGGCAAATTTTGCAGCGACGAACGTTTTGAACGGTCGCAACCAAAGCACTGTGACAAAAAAACACTGCAATTTGTTTGCCTCGGATTGCTCGCTTTAGACGTCAGCGTGTTGGATTGCACTCGAAATCGTTTGGTTTGCAGAAAACGCGACGTAGCCGCTTCCCGTTCGACTGCTGTTGTCACCGCCTGTCACAGTGTTGTCACCACCTGTCAACCTCGCCTGTCTGGCGGTGATGGGCTGGCTGATGAGCTGTAGACGGCACGCATACACTTGCACAGCACAGGCGATTTGATGTCGCTATCCGCTCGCGTTGTCGAGATCTGACATCAATCCTGCGATCCTCCAGAACCGACGGACCTGTAATTTGTGCACGTGTGCAAGTGCACGTGGAGTGCATCGATTCGCGCTTTTGTTAACGCGTTTGCTCGCCGTTTTCTGATTCGAAATATGCTGTTCCCGTTTCGCTGTAACCATTCCTTGCTGGACCATGAGCCGATTTTCGACAAGCGTTCCTACGATTTTTGACCAGCGAATTTCGCGTGTTCCCGTGTTAAGCCATTGGTGCTGGTCTGCACATGCCGACGCGCCCCACCCGTTGGGTCGAGCCCCAAATTTAGTACAAAGATGTGACCCCCGACCCCATTTGTTAGTCTACTGTTGGACTTTTTCATCGCTTACGCCGTAAAAAATCCGAATACGATTTGCGTATTCTTGCGTATTCTCTTAAATGTCTGGGTCCGCCCCGGTATGAATGATAACTATTTCAAGCGATATAGCCGCCCCAGCCACCCACAACCAGTTCCCATGCCTTGGAGTGAATTGTGTCGCATGGTGGGGATGTTGTATCAGTTTTTTTTGCGTGAAGTAGCTGGCGTCGCAAGCATGCTGAATGCGTAGCGATATGCCAACAATATACGCTTTTCTCTGACAGCTCATAAATCTTTATAATTGAGAGATGACATATTTGTCATTTTTAATCAGTCAATGTTTGCTTTACAACTCACCTACCACCTTCATTTCGGCTGCC